CCCCTATCTTTGACTTTCTGATATTAAAACAATGGATTAACTTTTCTCTCTGTTTACAATTTTAAATAAACTTATAATTTATTATTTTAGCTTTTGGTATCTTGATGCTGAAATTGATGAAAGTGTATCTGTGTTATTTCATATTACCTCAAATTATAAAATAAACTTGAGAGAACACAAACACTTCAAGTAGGTGGAGGACCTTGAGCATTTGTTCCCCAGTACCCAGAAGGGAACACAGGATGAAATCAGGAAATAGTTATAAGATGTAAATTCTACAACAAAGCAATATATACTTTATTGTTTTGTCCTTGTTCTTATTTTCCTCCTTCTTTTCCACTTCTCTCCTCCAACCCTCCTTCATTCTCCCTCCTCCTCTTTCTCCCCATTCCAGGTTTTGTTATTTTTCAATTCTTATGTAAGGTTAACTTTCCTGCATTTTTACCTAAGCAACTTTTATTCAAGGATATGTCGCTAAAATGTGATTCTAACCATTAAACCCTTAGTGCAGAAAATAACTGGCATGCCCCAGAGTACATTTCTTCTTACCTCTTAGCTTCTCATATATCAGCAGAAAAATTGGAAAAGTGACGATGATTTTAATTACCTCATTTTATTGGCATCACCTAGAAATAAGTGAGTGTGCAAATGTGCACCTGTTTCCAGCAAAATTTTTCCTAAACTGTGCTGCATGTTTCCTTTATTGCTTGAATACAGCATATAGGACTAATAAAATACTTCCTTGATTACTTGGTATAATCATTTTAAATGCTAACTTCACTATTAATGATCTACAGAAACCACTCGCTGAAAATGTACTTAGTTATTAATAGAAAAACTGACACAGTGGTATGGTTTCCTAATGCAATCATAAACAGCCAAAAGACTATGGGTTGGCTCGCCGCCACCTTCCCAAATATCTCGGAATCAGTTTCTTGTATGTAGAACAAAGATTTGCATATGACTCTCATGTTCCTTTTCAGTTATTAGGTGCCATGAAATCTGTCCAGTTCTGCAGAACTTGAAATGACCATGTGCACAAAAGTATTACAAGTTTAACTTTTTCATAGGTAAATACAATAAATACAGAGATCTCCTCACATAATGAGAATGTGGGGGAATTCACACACAGTTGGTTATAAATCTTTTATATCTCCCTGTCTGAAAGTCTGACTGGGGTAAATTTCTTTATTGTGTGATTGGTTTTCAAAAATTGTTTAATTCTGGAGGACCTGGGTGGCTCAGTCGTTAAGCGTCTGATATACTCTATCATATTTTGTCAAGGAAAAAGTATGCTGACACTGAAAAATGGTAAAGAGGGCCATATTCAGGTCTATTGCAATGGGGGGTGGTCAAGACTGTTGAATAGGAGAGAGAGCTTAAACTCAACTCCAAATATAACAAAGACAAGCGGGGACTTAAAGCCAATGAGCAGAATGACAGAAGTCAGTGGATGGAAAATTACTAAGAGAAACTTTATTACATTTCAACTATAATGTGCTTCTTGCTAAACGAGCCTGACAGAATTCTTGCTAAAAGCAGGCCATGGACAAGGGCATTAAGGGAGGATAATAAAGGACTTGATCAGATTTCAGAGATACTCGGATATCAGTGGAACAATTCCCACTGAATCGACTTAGCATGATTCTTTAGTAAAGGAAGAAGCCGACTAGGAGAGGGCCTGAGGACAAAGCCAAGTCCTTAGAGAAGGGCTTATGGAAGCGTGACAAAAGTTTTGTCAAGGAGGGCATTGTTGCCACGGTCCTTGGTTCTCATTGTGACCAAAAGCTTTCTGAAACGATTCCTTTCCTTTTCCATCCACTAAAGGACATATTTCATCTTGTCACGAGGCAGATTTCTCTGATTTTTTCCTCTACATTTTGCTCACAAAAATGCTCTTCCAATAGAGTTATTTCTGTTCATTGAAATTTGTAGAATATTTTATTTGAACTTGAACGGAATTTGGGGGACATACAATGCCTTGAGAGACATTTCCACTACTTTATGTGCTGTTGATGCCATATTCTTCTCTCCTCTTCCTTCCCCCTGCTGTTTGGTTAACTGCCAAAGTTTATTTCCTCTGCACAATATTTGAGGCCTTTCATGATGTGAAAGGCCTACTTTTTAAAAAAGATCGACACTCTGAAAATTACTATTTTTGATTTATCAACATGAAATATGGCTACTGGTTTTTAGCCTGAAGTTTTCACATGTTGCCTGTGCCAGAGTCACATCCTTCTTCAACCAGTGACCCAACACTCTTTGTTGGGTTTTATTAACATGCCAGTCTTGTGCCAGTGAACATTGCTGCCTTGCTATTGATAGGGTATCTACAAAACATATAATGTAGAGGAATTTACTTTATGTATTATTGTAGATAGACGTTATCAATATTTTCTTGCCTCGCTCCACAAATACATTTTTTTTAATGTGGCTTTCAGTATAGCATGCATTGCCTGTAAGCATGTTTGCATTCAACATCAGTGATTCCAAATTAAATTCCTACTGAGATCATCAGGCAAACAATTAGCAGCAATTGCTTGCTTTTGTAGAAAAATCAAATCTTGCCCTATGTTTATGGTTAAATTATAATACTATAACACATATTCATGCAGATGCTACATCATGGACAGAGTACACTGTGAGTCAGCTATTAATAGTTCCATTAGAATGTATGATTTTCATATTGGGCTGTATTTATATGCAAATAAATTATCCATAAACCTTTCCTTAGAATATTAGAATATTAAAGAGATTATGTTTCATATTTATTAAGAGTAATAAAATGTTTTATAGATAGAGCTAGAGATGTAGATATAGATATAACCTTAGCTTTTGACTCTGAATATCAGGAAGTTTGGTTTCTCTTACAGTTACACCCCTAATTAGTTACACGTCTTTAGAGTTTTCACTTAATCTTCCCAGGCTTTGGGAAAAATTTTTTTTTTCTTTTATCCTTGAAAATACCTTCTGTTAAATTTAACCAAACTGTTGAATTGAAAATTCATTGACTTCTCAATTTCAAGTAAATTCAATGTACAGTTTTTAAGAACCACATAAACATCACACACAATGTAAGCTATCAGGTATATAATTGTGACCAAGACATATCTTAACCCATAAGAGTCAGATCATTTGGTGGATCCTTCCACTGCCTATTACCATGCTGAGGGAAAACACAGAATCTGTGGGAACACAAAGTACAGAAGCTCAGTCACAGCTGAAGGTCATGGAAAAGCTGTGTTTAGGAAGTGTGGAGCCTAGTTTTGAAGGCAGCCAGAGGAGAAGGACAGGCACATTGCAAGTGGAGGGAAAACCATAGGCAGACATGTCTGTGTAATATTTAGCACACCTGAGTGCCAACATGTGTTATTACTTACTCAGACAATTCTCTTTTATGGGACGTTAAGCTTTTTTGAGTTTTTGTTAACATAGCGATGCATTAAAAGCCTTTTATATAAACTTCTAATATTTCTACTTATTTTCTCTGGAGAGAGATCTATGACTGGATTGTAGAAGCAAAATTATAAAGCTCTTTAAGTTTCTTTTTCTTTCTGAGGAATTGTTCAAATTCTATTCCCTTCAATAATGTATGATAGGATCCACATCACCAAAATGTTTCTAGCACTGAATGATATAACTTTGTTGTTGGGTTGAATGGATCTATAATGAATGATCTTTGGTTAAAATCATCATGAATTCATATCCTAGACCTACGATGTAGTGCTGGAGTAAACTTGACAGCTCTTACTCCAGATCCTTCATGCTTACAACAGGGTAATACCTTCCTCACAAGGTTATTGGAAAGATAGAACTCAATGTATAATCTCACTGTCTTAGATAGAAAACAGTCAATTAATATTTCATACATCTGTGTGAGATTGACATTATAAACATACACTAAAACAAATAAAAGAATTTTTCAATTACTTGTGCATTTGTACTACAGATTAAAATTCTTATGTATCTTCTATAAAATCATATACAACAAAATTGGTGTAGCTCATTTTTAAGTACTTGGGGTGAGTAAAACAAAACATTTAAGTTAGATTACTGAAGTTGATATTCTATGAGGTGATATTAAGTTTTAAGTAGTTAATATTAGTGACAATAATAATAAATATCAGCAACATTTTAGCTACCACTTTATGTAAAAATTTTAAAGATGAATTCTTTCAAATACTTATGCTGTTAACTACTGAGACTCAAAGAGGCTATGGTTGATTGGCATTTGTGCTACGTCATCGTTCTAGAATAGAGCAAGACTAAAAATCATGTTTGTGGGTCTTCACAATTAGATAATTTCAATAAGGTAATATACTAATATTGTCTATTTTCTCTGAACTGTTTTTATAGAGGTCAGAGGTAGGCTATGGAGAATTGGCCAAGCTTCATAGGAGCTGATTAATCTTCAAGTCAACTTTGCGGATTAAATTAAATAATCTCTGGTTTAATTGAAACTGGAAATGATATTTCAGGAAACACTTGTTTCTTAATTGTGATATTGACATTTCAACTTAGATTTTATATCTGTTTAAAAATATCTCATAGAAGAAATTATATGAGTAAGACAAGATTTTATTTTTTTTGAGTAAGACAAGATTTAAATATGACCCAAGACCACCGATTTTGTTATGCTAAACTCACACCTTATTATTAGAGGTTTGTTCCAGAAAGAGATTTCACATATGTAGATACCTATTAATTAACTGAGTAGATAATTTTTGTCAGGTTATCAAAAGCAGAATTAACTCTGAGCATTAATTTTTCATACTTTAATAATTGGCCAACTTTTAATATTTGTATATTAATTAAAAATTATTTGATTAAACAGTCAAATAACATATTTTTATGAGTTCTCATGTCACATATTAAATACATGACAGAATTTCTGTGGCTTCTTTTTGCATTCAAGCAGTAATTATTGTTGTACATACTAATCAAGTGATTATTTATCTTAAAGAAGAGGTCTATAAATGTTATATTGTTTTGCTTTACAGATGCTCCCAAGTTTATATCAAACCAAACAATTTATTACTCTTGGGAAGGAAACCCGATCAATATAAGCTGTGATGTGAAATCTAATCCACCAGCATCAGTCCATTGGAGAAAAGAGAAATTAGTCCTTCCAGCTAAAAACATCACTAATTTAAAGACATATAGTGCAGGGAGAAAGATGATATTAGAGGTAAGTGTTCATGTACATATGAATAAGTTGTATTATTTTAGCAGTCACCTATTTTAGAATGCATATAAAATGTTAATATAAATACAATTATATAATATACATTTATATTACATAATATATATATATACACATACAAATTTTATTGTGTCTCTTTCATGTGTATTTACTTAAAAAGGAAATTTTGTGCATTTAGATCATGGACCATTAATGATTAATAATATCTCACTCGTATAAAAAAAAGTCTATGGTAAAAGCCATTATTTTTCTTTTTTTTCTTTTGGAAAAAAGTCAGTTATATCAGGAAAAAATAGGGTGAGGGAATTAGTAATTCATCAGTTATTAAGGACCAGAAGTGTTGCTGATACTAGTTATTGATTTTGAGATTATGCCCTCCATCTAAGATGCATACATAACTTTTTGGTGGGTGCATATTTACAAGTTTCTAAATAAACCAGATTTACTTGTTCAATGCCTCACTTCATTTTATATTTTAAATTAAGATTATAGATAATTGTCTTTATATTGCCAAGTACCTGGCCTTTTAATTCTGTTTGAATACAATACCTTTTATTTATTAATTATAGATTATGTGTGTGTGTATGTGTATCGATTCCCAAAGTTTTTGTGTCTATGATCACAATCATGAACCTTCCAATTCCTCATGTTTTCAGTACAATTGGGAAGCTCTCTCAAATAACCTTATTTAGCCAAAAAGATGCTATGTTTTTCACTGTAATTCAATTTACATTCATTTTAAAAATTCATGTTTTAAAATAACATTTGACACTCAATGTGTTAACTTAAAGGTGTTCTCATTGGTGCCATATTTACTTTTCTACCTGGTAATTGGAATTCATGAAAAATTTGGTTGACAGAAGGATTTAGCCATCACTTCCCCAAGTATTTGGATAGCTGACTCTTTGCTCATTAAATGATTATCTTTATCTGTATCTTTCTTTTTGATTTTGTATTTTATTTTATTTATTTATTAATATAGCCAAAAAGATAAGAGGGTAGGACTCTAAAAGGAACTATTGTTTTATATCGGTTTTCTAGGCCTAGGGCAAAAAGGCTTTGACTATCACTTACATGCCCAACAAATACATATACTGTAAAATATTAATAAGGCAAATATCTGTGCACACCACCCATTCCAAAGGATTTAAACACCTCGGGATGGGTGGTGTCTAAATTTGTTTGAATTTAAGTTGGTTACTTTGTAACTTTATTAGAAGAACTATTGGGAATTGACACAGAGGTCAATTTCACAAAGAAACTTGGTTAGATTTAACATAAAATTTACGTTTTTAACTAGTTAAAAAGTGAGGTGAGGTTTAACTTCAGTTTGGGGTACTTTGTTCAGGCTGCCATAATGAAGACCACAGACCAGGTAGCTTAAATAAAGTAACCTCCTTCCCCCCACATATTTCTGTAGGCTCTAAGTCCAGGATCAAGGTGCCAGAGGGCTGGGTTTTGGTGAAATTTCTGTCCTTGGGTTGCAGGTGTGCCCTCTAACCATGCAAAGAACAAGAGAACTGTGGTGTCTTGTCTTCCTCTAAGGACATTAGGGCCCATGTTTATGACCTCATTCAATCTCAGCTACTTCCTTAAAGACCCTATCTTCAAATAACATTAGAAGTTAGGGTTTCAACATATTTATTTTGTGCTGGTGACACAATTTATTCCATAACAGGTAGATTTAAGTTCATTCATGTTTAAATGACTAATGTGTAATTTCCGCTTTGTTCATTTTACCACTTTTCAGTTTCTGGGATAGCTCTAATTCCCCGTAGTCAGTATTAAGCAATGACATTTAAATATTTTAAACATTTTATATTTAAATACTTTATTCATATAAATCTCTCACGTTATTTAATCTTCTGCTTAAATGGCATTCTTCTCCACCCCAAAGTAAAAACTAAGTGGTTTTTGTTTTTACAGACCACATGATTTATTGGTTAAAAAGCATTGACCTTGGGATGCCTAGGTGGCTCAGTTGGTTGGGCAGCTGCCTTTGGCTAGGGTCATGAACCCAGGACCCTGGGATTGAGTCCCACATCTGGTTCCTTGCTCAGCGGGAAGCCTGCTTCTCCCTCTGCTTGCTACTCCCCCGCCTATGCTCTCTTTCTCTTTGACAAATAAATAAAATCTTAAAAAAAAAAAGCATTTACTTTGAACATACACTTTTTATGTATATACTATTTTTTAAAATTAAATTAAAGCCCTGAATAAATAATTAATGGGTAGCTAATACAACTTAAAATAAAACAAAATGACAATAACTACCAAAACAAAGCAATGATAAGTATTACAGATTTTAAATTAATAGCATTCATATTTGCTTAGGATAGTACATTATTATTTTTTTGCATAGGAATTATTATAATAGTCACATAATTGCTAATTCTTAAGAACGTATAATACAATATATAAAAATACAGTGTGCAGTTGTTAACAAATTGGTCAATAAAGGATTTCTTAAATTGGTTTTTAAAGTTTTTCCTTTTTCATTGAGCAAATATGTAATTCAGTCTTTTAAATTTATGAATTTTAAAACATAACAGAATATTCCATAAATCCTTTGGATTGGTGCTAATAAAATAATCTGTAAAAATCATCCTTTTTTTTTTCTTCTGAGCACTTCCTAAGGTAATAAGGTAATAAGCCAACATTTTAATATATGGGCAACCATTGATGTAGGAACTTTCTAATAGGTTGATTAGAATAATATTGCACTTTTGATCATCTGTGGTGTTGTTCTTTATCTTAAGTAAAAGGCTAACTATTAAACATATGATTTTCTCACTATGGAACACATAGAAATAGGAAATGAAGTTTATGAAAGTTTAGGAAAACAACTAAAGAACTCCTTTATTAGCATTGCACTCCTAGCTCATATTTTGATGTTCAAAATTATATTTGTTGATCAATATATTATGTACTATTAAAGCCCACCATCTTAACTAATCTTAAATTATTTTACCTGCATATTAAAATGTGAAAAAAGTGGAGTCATATGTAGGTGTTCCTAGCACTTCCTGGATAAATATCAGCAATAATTGGTATATTTTAAATGTGTGAATATTTTTAAACTGCTTTATAACATACCTTTGCTGTACAATTTTTTTTATATAAAATTACCTATCATTTTATTGAACTGGGATGGGTCATAAAGGCACTATTGAATGCTGCATTCACATTGCTTTCCTAGGACACATCAGCTATGCAGCAGGGAACATGATTTGCCAGGTTATATCTAAGTCTGTGGGCTTTTTTTTTTTTTTAATAATCTGTACTACTAGAGGTGTTTTCTGAATTTGTTAATCATACAACATAATAAAGAAATGATTTCAGATAAAACTGTAAAACTTTTATCTTTGATAGGTCAACTTCTAGGAACAGAAAACAAACCAACAAATGAAAAAACCCTGAATTGAGCCTTTTAAAAGTTGTTCCAATGAAACTAGCTATTTAAAATACTTGCTTAATATTGAGGGGCTGCACAATAGTCCTGATTCTTTGTCATGGCCATCCTGTCTGTATTTTATCAATTCAGTGCACATTGTTCCCTATGGACTGTACAAATAACTCTCCTATGCCTGCAAAATGTAGAAATGTTGGGGGCAGTTTCCTTTCTCACTAGTAAAATTATGGCCAAGTCAAGTTAGCTTGGTTTATTAAAAGCTGAATGTAAGAAAAATGAATGTTTTAATCACTCAGGAGTACTTACAAAAAAATGGTTAAAGTCTCTACTTCTTAAACTTACGATCTATTCCTAGATAGACAGCTAACCAGGGAATGAATGGCACAGCTTTTTTGTGCGTTTTCAGAATTATCATCTTCAATGGACCTCAAAATTGCACTTTTAGTTAAGAGCCTCCCATTACCACAAAATCATTTTCCCCCCTTTTGGGATAGAGTTGAAATTAACAGCAACTCTTGTAAGCATATTCTCTCTTAATAATAGTTACTGGGATTGAAAATTATATCTATTACTATCATCAAATCTCTTTTCTGAATTGATACTTCAGAATTTCGGTACATTAGAATTACAGGGTTGGCCCCAATGTTCAGCAATAAATTCCTGGAAGGTTAACTTAATTACGGATTTCAAATGTGTAAGGACTGAGGTCAGCTGTTTTCCACCTAAACTGAAAGAGAATGATAGGAATTGAACAGAAATGGAGGCAAGATACTATTATTAGCCATCAAGATAATGTGCCTGTCTACAGGGATTGCTACCCAAGGGCAACATTTTCTAGCAAAATACATACCTGGAAAGATTCTTTTTCTTCCTTCCTTCCTTCCTTCCATCCTTCCTTCCTTCCTTCCTTCCTTCCTTCCTTCCTTCCCTTTTCTTTCTTTCTTTCTTTCTTTCTTTCTTAGGATAAGTAAGTCCTCATCCTTCATTAATATTTTATATTCAATAAAATCATGAGAGGGGGAAATGAAACCTGATATATTTCCAGCCTTTCATGAACTTTAAATCTGCTTGACTTTAGTCTAAAAGAGAAAACAGAGGGTTAATTAACCATGCTTTTGGTACAGTGTTCTGTTTTCAAGCTCATGTCTGCAGCAATTGCAGAATATATATTTTTCAAACTGTGAGCCACTTTCTGAGCTTTCCATACAAAAATATCTAATGACTTTTTCTATTCAATAGATATAATAAAATGATGGCATTTGTCTACCAAATAAATTAATAGTTAAACTATATTTTACCTAGTCCTGTGAAAATATAGGTCCAAGCATTACATCTTAAAAGGCTGTGATGCTTACTTGACAGAGAGAAAGAATTATGACAAGGATTTGTGAATAATTGAACAAGTGTGAAAATGGTGGGCATACTAGAATCTATTTTAAAACTGCCATGATTTTGTTTTAAAATTGTTAAACTTCTATTATTATGATTATTTTAGATAGCACCTACATCTGACAATGACTTTGGACGATATAATTGCACAGCCACTAACCGTATAGGAACAAGATTTCAAGAATATATTCTTGCTTTGGCTGGTAAGTATAGCACAATAATTTCTGAGATCTCATAAAATATTTCTATAAGCAAATAGCTTCATTTTTATAAGTCATGATATAGGTTATTATTAGGAAGAATGAACCAGTGCTTAAAAATTTAGAACAATTGTGTCTGACAGATAGTGAGCAATTAGAACATATTTACTAATCAAGATTGATTTTAAACCATGATTCTGATCACCCAACTTTATAAGTGAGCCATCTACAAAAGAAGTAAAAAAGGTATGTCTTAAGAAAGCAAATTATAGGGGCGCCTGGGTGGCTCAGTGGGTTAGGCCGCTGTCTTCGGCTCGGGTCATGATCTCGGGGTCCTGAGATCGAGTCCTGCATCGGGCTCTCTGCTCAGCAGGGAGCCTGCTTCCCTTCCTCTCTCTCTGCCTGCCTCTCTGCCTGCTTGTGATCTCTGTCTGTCAAATAAATAAATAAAATCTTAAAAAAAAAAATAAAAAAAATAAAAAAAAAGAAAGCAAATTATATTTTATGTTGAGTAAGAATCCTATCAAAAAATTTAAAAAGACATCTTGAAAGAAAATAAACTAAAATTCACCTATTTTAAAATCCTAAGCTTGAAAGTACAAAGAATAGCTTATTTTTAAGGCAAATAGAAAATTTAGAGTTATATAACTTTCAATGAAAAGTGTTTCATTTTATATATGAAAACATTCTAGTTCTTCCCCAAAAGCTTAAAGATAACAAAATAATAACATGCAGATACAATGCATTTTAACTAGAAATTGTTATGTTTTTAGTTATATAAGTAAGTTATATATAACACACATATTTATTTCTAGAATTTGCATTATGTTTTACGAGACCGATTGGAAGTCTGAAAGTATACATTGGAGTATATTTCGCATAGCTCAGAAGATACAAAACATGATTTTTGCCTTTTAGAACTACATAGAGAAATATCAGAAAATTATTGTAATTTTTTTGGATTGTTATGTTTTAATAGAATAAGTAGTTTCCACAAAAATATTTTAAAATGTTTTCTAAGTAGAGTTCTAGTATATAACTATAATTTTATATTAAGAAATATATTTACTTCTGTTGATATGTAAAGTCATGCCATTAGTTAGAAAGACCAAAAGGGAAATTTAAAAGTTTACAAAGCTAATAATACTCAAATTATTATGTAACTGAAATCTCTTTCTCTCCAATTCAAGTTTTGCTACACTAGAGAAGGGAGAGAAGGCGTTGTGCAAAAGAGCTTAAGGGAAGAAAGGAGGAAGGAAAATATTGAGATAAGAGGGAATTTAGGGAGAAAAGGAGGGAGGAAGGAATTAAGGAAGAAAGGAAATAACAACTATATATCATTTACCATGGAGTCTTCAGAAAATTAATCTCAGAGGTGCCTGGGTGGCTCAATCTGTTAAGCCACTGCCTTTGGCTCGGGTCATGATCCCTGGGTCCTGGGATGAGCCCTGCATCTGGCTTTCTCCTCATTGGGGATCCTGCTTCTCCCTCTCCTCCCCAGTAGTGCTCTCTCTAGCTATCTCTGTCTCTCTCTCTCTCAAATAAATAAATAAAATTTAAGAAAAAAAGAAAAGAAAATTAATCTCAATGAAAATCATAGGACGTAGACTATCCACATTTAGGGATATGAATAAACCATTACACAAGCAATTAAATTCTAGGAAAATGAAATGTGCTAAGTCATATAAAAATTCACTGATAATAAATTGAAGTGAGCATGATTTTTACTGATCAAAAGCATTCACTATTTACATTAATTCCAAGCCTCAGGAAATTAGGCATATTTTCTTCTAATTAGTATGAACTTTTTTCTAGATAATAACCAAATATGTGATCATTATATGTATATACAGTTATATTAATACTGATATACAATTTTACATTGCTTTCTTACAAATGATGTAGGTTTGTATAGGTAAACTTGCTAATGACTAGATTTTTAAAATTTTTAAGTACTTATAATTCTGGAAAAAATACAAAAAATAGAACATTATATTCATGAGATTTTGATATCTTATTAAATTCTCAGGAAATATTTATTGTCTGTATACCTTCATATCTAACAGTTTTGGTTTTTTTTTAAAGATTTCATTTATTTATTAGAGAGAAAGAGAGCACACAAGCAAGGGGGAAGGGCAGAGGGAGAAGCAGGCTCCCCGATGCGGGGCTGGATTCCAGAATCCTGAGATCATGACCCAAGTCTGAGGGCAGACACCCAGTGGACTGAACGTGAACCACCCATGTGCCCACATATCTGACATTTCTTACTGTGACATTTTCACTGAAAAAATATATTTGATACCTATCCTCCTAATGAAGATACTAACTTAATGAGTTTCCCTCAGCTTAACCATAAAAAAGAAAGAAAGAAAGAAAGAAAGAAAGAAAGAAAGAAAGAAAGAAAGAAAATGTTCCCTCAAGCTAAGAGCTAAAATGTTATTGGAAATATTTCTTGAATACTGCAACTTTCCTAGTGTTTCAAAATTTTGTGACAAATACATACCTAAAATTTGTTTCAGAAAGAGATAGATTCGACTGAAATTGTAACAGAGATATAAAAATAAATTAGGCCCTGAGCCTTAGATGGGAAACATATATTTAAACATCAGCAGTAATAAACATTATTCCTTTGATGGGACCTCTTTATCTAATGCTTACAAAATTTAGTCTTTCCTGAAGAATTTGAACAATGAAAGTGCAATGTGATTTTAAATTAAATGTAAGAGAAATGTTATGTAGAAATTTAAATATTTCAAAATAGATGTCAGTATCATAGCTCAGTATCTCATTGGCCTATCTGACCCTAGTAAAAGGCCCAGATCATTTGGCATGTGTTATTTTATGTTGTAACAGATTACTTTGATTTAAAAGGGCAATGAATTAAAACAGCAGCAACTGCACATGAAATTATGTGTTATATATTCTGAGAAAACTATAGGAAGAAAACACTTTTTAACTTCCTTTGTTTCAAAATCTTTTTTTTTTCTTTTTTCTTTTCCTTCCTTTTTTACCTCCTTTATAATTAAGTCTTACATCTGAGCACAATCGACATCTGTATGCAAGTGGGGGCGCAGCCTATCATAGGGCATCAGACCCTTAGCAGAGTTAATAGACTAAAAGGGGGTTCAGTGGTCTAGTGTGGGGTGTTGGAGTCTGGGCAGGTAAGAAGCATTTGCATGTGGCAAGATAGAAACAGCAACCCAGAGAGGAATGTTGGACCCAATCAGTGTAAGGGGTGGTCCAAGTAAAGTGGTACGGTAAATGATGGATGACTAATGTCTGCAAGCACATAGGTGACATCAGCAATTATATAAAAATAACAAAAACTAGAATGACTCTGGGATAATGGTTGGGTATTGGAGTTATTGGTGTGAAGTCTGGTTTTAATGTATGTAGGTAGATACAGAAAGGGGAAAAGAAGTAAAGGTGTATGTGTGTGTGTGTGTGTGTGTGTGTGTGTGTTCAGTCATTTCCACAAGGTATTTCTTTTTGTCAGGAATCTTACTTAGAAAGCAATTTCTGTATATGTAAATGATGAATCACTAAATTCTACACCTGAAACCAATTTTACCAATTCTACACCTGAAACCAATTTTACTGTATGTGGTAGCTAACTAAAATTTAAATAAAAACTTGAAATTTAAAAAAAAAAAAAGAAAGAAAAGAAAACAATTTCTCAGCCAGCTGTATCCACAGAGAGGACTTGAGATCTCCAGCACCTCAGCAGCAAAGACCAAACATGGCTGGCAGACACATTTTGGTTTCTAAATACTAAAAGTAACTAAGGCTTCTTATAAAAATGGCTGATTCTAGGAGTGGGACAAGGAAAGTACAAGATAAGTCTGGAACAATGTGTTTTGCTAGAATGAAAAGAAATTTTAAAAAAGCATCCATCAACCATTTTTAACAAATACCATAATACAAATGAATTCACCTGAGGGGCATCAATGGTTGCTAATGCAGGTATATGTTGAGAAAAAATTTAGCAAGTTAGATGACAAAAAAAAAAATAAATCAAAATACTTTTGAAGTGTCTACCCCCAAATTATTTTTTAATTACAAAGGGAAAATAGCAACATTATAGTTGTAAGCCTACTAGATCCCACTTTAATTAAGTGACCAAAATTAACATCACCAGTAATGAGAAAATTAAACTTGAATGCTACCAGAAATAGGCAACGAGAAAAACACAGAATAACAATTATAATTTTCCTGCCAAAAATGCATAATCAGAATCTAGTATGAGGAAAGGGAAGGCAAATCTGAATTGACGTGCCTCCAAAGTGTCAAAGCCATGCAAAGGAATGATTAAGGCAACTTTCTATATTAAAGGACAATAAAGATAAATAACAAATAAGTGCCATGCCTGCATCTTTTGTTATAAAGGACATTACTGGGATGATAGGTGAAATTTGATTGTAGTCTTTGGATTAGATGGTAATTTAATTGTTTTCTAGAGTTTATGTAAGAGTGAGATTTGTTATGGTAAATACACACTTAAATTGGCACCATGTCAACTTACTCTAAATGGCCCACATTAAAAAGATAAGATCTGTGCAGTAGTCTTACAAATTTTCTAAAAATATGAAATTATGTTTTTAAAAATAAGTAGGGGCATCTGGGTGGCTCTGTTGGTTAATTGTCCAACTTTTGAAATCATCTCAGGTCTTGATCTTGGGGTTGTAAGTTCAAGCTTTGCGTTAGACTCCACACTGGGCGTGGAGCCTACTTAAAAAAAAAAAAAAAAAAAGGGAAACTAAGGCCAACAAACAAATACCTAAATATAGCAATTTCAGAAAAGCAACATAACTTGTGAATATAGCTAGCATTCTTGATTAAAAGAAAATCTTTTTTGTGTGTGCATACATCGTTTCTATATGTGATCTTATAAATGGTTTTAAAATAGTTAAAAGAATTTTTGCATACTAAATAATCATTGATTCACAGAAAACTGGTGTTTTTGAATATAGAGGTCTAATTTTTACTCTAAAATATAGTAATTT